ATAAACCCCGCCCTCTGGAAAAGGCAGCAAAGGGGGCGAGGCCATGCTGCAATGTTTTAGAGAAGAGGAAGAGTAAACTAGAGGTGCACGTAAAAATCTATACATATATGAATCGTGATTCTGTCTTCTAATGATTCTAATGGATTCACAAGTTTCAAAATCAATGTTCTAAAGATAATGCGTTTTTTAAAAAACTAAGCATTAACACGTTAGACTGCACCCCATAAACACAATCAAGCCTAGAAAAAAGCCACTGAACCACTCCTTTAAAATTCCAACTCATTCATTGAAATGCAGCCAATTCTTAATTCTGAATATTGCCGAGTCCTGCTCAGATTCTGATTCTGTACCGGTGCACTGGCACTCCATCTGTCATGAGTCTGAGTTTTCTGTGTAGATGTGAATGTCTGGTTCTCAGATGTCTGCTCTCTCAAGGGCTCACTCTCTCTTTCTCTGGATTCTTGGCCTGAGCTACTGATCACTTGTGCTTTTGATCCTCCGTTTCTTGGCACCTGTCTTCCACTCCGTTTTTAAAACTTACAGTCTGTCTGCCTGTTGCTGTCTGCTGATCATTCGGAAATAGACAAAAATAAAAGGAGAGTTACAGAAGGACCATGGAAATGGTGCAATTTGTGCATAAAGATTTTAGGATTGTTTATAATTTCAATTGAAAAGGTTAGGAAATACAGTCTACCAACTCAGGCCTGAAGTGCCACTGTCATAACTGAGATAAACAGATACTGGAGGACTATCTTAGAGGGTTGCACATCAATGACAGATTCCTAAATTATCCTAAATACAAACCACCAATCCTAAATACTAATCCTAAAGCACTATAATAAAAGCTACATTAACCCTGTTTGGAATTCATGTAGCCTACGTACAATTTGAATATAACTGAATCAATACTGTCAGCATCATTGGCGTCATTTACATTGGGGATGGCAAGGACATGTCCCCACCATTTTTGTCATGGGTAATTTCATCCACACTGTTTGCAGCAGCAATAACAGTGATAAACTAGATTGAAAAGTTTGTAGACAAACTTTAAGTTGGCTTGAAAAAGCCTAGCTAGAAAGTTTGAAAAAGTTTTAAAAGCTTTTTAAAAGTAGTTTGAAAGTGTTAAAATAGTTTTAAAGATTAAAGTTTGAATGTTTTCAAGGCAATACAGTCTATCAGAAAAACAGATAGGAATAAAACATATTGCTAGGGTACCTAGGGTGTTTGCTAGGCTGTTTTCTAGCATGACTAGCATGTTGCTAACATGTTTTTAGCATGATCAGCATGTCACTAGCATGTTGCTAGCATGATTAGCATGTTGCTAGCACAATTACCATGTTTGCTAGCATGATTAGCAAGTTACTAGCATGTTTATAGCATGATTAGCATATTACTAGCGTGTTGTTAGCATAATTAGCAAGTTACTAACATGTTGCTAGCGTGATTAGCATGTTACTAGCATGGTGTTCGCATTTTGTTAGCATGATTAGCAAGTTACTAGCATATTGTTAGCATGATTAGCATGTTATTAGCATGGTGTTAGCATTATTAACAAGTTACTAGCATGTTTCTAGCATGATTATCATGTTACTAGCAT